GTGTCGTAACATCCCAAACTAGCCGGTTCTCAGGCAGCACCTCGGGGAATAATGTGCTTCAGACTTCCCATTTCCTGGAACAGACTGAGGAAGAAGGAGCTTTTCACCCCACTGCATGCGACCGTTACATGTTTGTATCCGAGTACAGATGTTCTGGTGTTTCCTAAACTGATGCTAAATGAATATTGGCTTTAAAAACCAACACACGCTCAGCAGACAGAAACACGTCTGCAGCCGCCCTGATCGCGCTCTTCCTTTGCAGTAGCACTGGTGTGTCGGTTCAGGTACCAGGGTTCCCTGTAACCCAAATTTATTTATATACTGATGTTGATCCAATTCACAAAGTCCCAAATCACTGAGCTGTTTTGCCTCACTGAAGGGAGCCAGAAAGAAGAGCCAGGGAAAGGACAGCAGGTCATTTCCCACACAGGCTGCTGTCTGACGCCCAGTGATGTCTGACAGATCACTGAAGCATAGAGTCAGCTGGCTGATGGAAGCCATGGCAAAATTCAGATCAGAAAGGTCAGACAGCTTCAGACGACGGAAGATGTTCAGAGGAAACAGCAACAGATCGAGGTGATAGTTTAAAATTCAGAGCTCGACAAGTGTCCAAGCACAGAAAAGGACGTCTGTTCAAATGAAAGATTGTGACAGCTTGTAACATTTTATTTATATAAATACAAAATTTGGCATTTAATACAAACAATGTATTTACAGCTTCACTGTATGCGCTGTAAAGTCTACAGTCCTGAGGATGGGCCGTCTATGTTCCCTCAAAAAGAAACGTCAGGCTTCACGACAGAATAGCTTTCAGTCCATTTTAAACAAACACAACAGACGGTGGCCTTTCTTATCAATATTAGCACATGGCTTCTTTTGTGGCTGGTCTGTCAAACTGTGCAACGATTTCCATGACAGTCGTGTTTTTATGTCTCCTGGAGATCACTGCTGTCCCACAATCATCTGTGGCCTTGTCTCGTGAATCTTTAGATGACATCATGTGCTGTAGATGACGAGATATTCACAGTTTTACATAGTTCCACAATTTGTAGATGCAGTTTAGTTTAGGTTGAGTGAGCATCTTTCCGTCTCCCTCTCCACGATGCCAGGAAACCCAATCAGGTCATCCTGCTTCTTTTTCAAGCTCTACATACTTTCTCTCATCTTGTTGCTCCGTCTCAACTTTTTAGAGGCGTGTGGCTGCCATCAAATTCAAAATGAGTTAGTATTTATCATGAAAGGACAGAAAATGTCCCACTTTAAATACCTGTTTATGTACTATATTTAATAAAATATGATGAATAAATGAGCAGATCGTTTCACATAGTGAGCGAGCGTTTGGGATTCGTGGTGTGAGCTCTTTGTGTGGATGTTTAAATGTGATTAACAGGTAGTGTGTGTGGTGAGGAATGTGTGGCTGAGGTAAACAGAGACTTGGTGCAGATAACAGCAGGACTAGCTGCTGCCGTCACATGTTAAGAAGCAGATACATCAGTGACAGGGTCACCGGGGTCAAGACCAACAAGACAGCACATCTGGGGGAGGGGGCGCGTGGATTATGAAGACGCGAACAGTGCAGACAGGCCTCGCCTCTGCACTCGTGTAACAGTGGTTCAGCTGATTGATATTTTTGTATTTGTGGATCAATTTCTGCCACACAAAGTAAGAAAACATACGAGCATCTATTAGGAGAGCCTCTAAACTGAAATGCAGTGAAGAAAAAGCAGGTTATCTGCTGTCAGGAGACTTGGCTGCAGATAACGCTGACACTCTTAGTCTCTGAGTAGCAGTGTTAAGGCAGCGGGCTGACAGGAGACAGGCCAGGCTCGGCTCTGCCAGCCTCCGTCTGCCCGAGAGGATGCAGCAGATTCACGGGGTAAACTGACCGCTCACATCTGCTTGATGTTATAACACAAAATTATATGTTGAGCAATATTTCAGAATGAACCAAACAAACTGATCATTAACGTGATGATGCGTTTGTCTGGGAAACGGGCCGTGCACTGTAACGGCACTTTACTGGTTTGTCTGTTTATGCACCAGTTTGGATTCAATCATTAGGTATTATTCATCTCTGGCTCTGTTCCAGAGTCCGTCCTTTGTCCTGTCTCTCCTCTAACCCACAAGTTGAGCCTGGTTCTGCTTTCTTCCTGTTGAAAGGGAGTTTATCCTTCCCACCGTCGCCCGGCTCACTGGAGTCATCTGATCGATGGGTTTTCAGGATTAGTATTTATTTATTGTCATTGTCAAGAACAATGAAATTACGTTTGGGGCTTCCATACAACCCAAGAAAAAAAAATAATAATAATAATAAATACCCCTTAAAACCCAAGTGTACATATTTAACCCAGTGTGACTCCAATGCAATAAAACAATCCTTAGCAATAATGTTGGTAGAAATTCAGACAAAGACCTGAGAAACATGACAAAGTACAACAATGCAACCCATTCAATATTATTGTACTGTGAGATATGATATCAGATATGATAGTTATCTATTTAAGAAAGAGGGGGGGGGGGCAGGAGGGGGAAGAGAATAAAGATATGATGCACCAATGCAGACCAGTTCATTGTCTTTATCTTACGATACAAAGCACCTGGTTGTTGTTACTAAACTGACATTGAAGCTGAATTGTAGGCCATAAGAAGCTTGAAACACAGATGCAATATTGCAATATGAAAGAAATGTATTGCTCAGTTTCTATACTGTGACGATGCTAAAGAGGAGTCAGCTGACTGAAAGCTGGATGTGAGCGTACAAACGCCACAACCTTTCTGCTCAAACATTAAATAATGAACACGATGTGCAAACTAAACTACAAGTTAGCCCCTCGTTTCATGTCTTATCTACTCAGGACAGTTTGGTCATTGTCTCTCATTTAGCATGTGTGTGTGTTTGCATGTATCAGCAGAGATCTATGGTGAAACTCCAGCGACTGAGCATGGAGCGAAGCTGCCATGAGGTCATACGAGGGTGTATAAGGCCATTGTTTTCTTGGTGCTGAGGAGCGTTCGCAGAGGGCACTCCAAACAGGCTGTGGTCAAGGGTGTGGTGCCTCCAAGTTTATTGTGTACAGCATCCTGTCCTCGTCCCTATAAATAGACCAAGAGAAAAAGATAGCTTACAGTTGTCAGCACAGCAGGAAATCCAGGAGTAGCTGCTTCGAGCTGAGGAGAGCGGCTCCACTCACTGTGAACAACAACAGCACAGAGAAAGAAATGTTCGATTCGAGCTTTTTCATGATGCGTACTTTCCTTTTGCTTTACAGTTTCTCGTTTGTTGCCAGCAGCAGCAGATAATGTTCATTACATTACAAGCAGACCACGTGGTCCAAACATTTGTCTTCAGAGTAGGCGGAGACTAAAATAGACATACAGGTAAACAGTGAGTGCTTATTTGATCTGCATTTTCTGGATACTCCAATATATTAGGCTGCAGTTCTCTACTGTATGCTCTAATATGACTGTACTGCCCCCAAGTGACTATTACAAATGCAGGTCTATAAGATGCTGTCTTTGATGGGTTTGATGCAGAGCCTCATGCAGCTGTGCTGTGAAGGTAACCGCTCGTGTCTTTTCCTCCTCAGGCTTTCTGTGTCACAGCGTCTATGCAGATACTGCTGCAGAGGCAACCACTGGGACACCTGCTGATGTCACAAGTATTGCTGCCACAGATGGGGATGAACCTACAAAGACTACAGCCACAACTGTGTCAGCAACAACAGCAACAGCAACAGCGGGAGTCACTATCAGTCAGAATAACACCGACAAACAGAGCACAGCAGTGCAGACAACACAGACTATCCCAACTCAGAGCACACCAACTCTCAAAGCAGAAACAGCAGCAACAAGCCCCACAGCAGCTCTCACTTCTCCCACCAAAGAGGCTACGACTGCGATCACCACTTCGACCTTGGCTGCTACACCCACGCCAGCCCCATCAGAAACAGTCACTACCCCCAGCACCCAATCAGTGCTGAGCACTAAGCCTTCCACAGTAACGGCATCAACATATTCTCTGTCCAGTAAAATCACGGCACCATATAATGTGTCATCACCAAACGAGGAGCAACGCGAGAGCACGAACAGCCCCACAGTACCAACATCCAGCGCTCCAGCTTTGACCACTGTAGCCGCGGCACAGACGCTTCCCACAGGTAAGGACTTTTGTCCCCTGGATGTGAATCTGAAAATGACACATTTAAAGTGAGAAGACACCACAACAAATACTTAAACCTGACCGAAGTAGTATAAATAAGACTGTGAGAGCGTGGCGTTCAAACTGCGCTCCAATGATGTGAACAGCTGTGAAAAAGGGTAAAAGGCCTCGTTTCCAGGTGGAAGCACGGCGTGCGCAGGTTTAGGTACCATGTGAATGATTTTAACGTCGTGTATTTTACAGGGAAGAAGATGCAGTTTGCACTTTACGTACTTTTAAGTACTTCATAATTCCTTAGTAATTTTGCAGTATTCCTGTCTTTCCTGGTATGCATTTTTGATCATTATTCGAGTGTTCCTACTTTAAGTATTTGTTGCCTCATGTGACGGAGACCACACACAGTCCTGACCCTGTTAAACTTGGTATTGTACAAGCGTTGGTCCATCTGCTCAGTTCTTCAAGTAGCTGGGAAGTTAAAGGAGGTGGTGTTGACTGTGGTGTATTTTGTTCTTTTAATACTTCCTCCAAACCTTAAAATGTGACGTGGCTGTCACTGATTGGCTGGCTCAGAGGGATCTGCATCACTACGACGACGCTTCCTTATTCTTGTTGTTCTTGTTGTTATTTCTGGTCCAAGTTTCCACCGAAATCCCTGAATCTACAATAGTACCTGGAGAGGCCAGAGCGAACACTCAGCTTACAAACCCAGGGGTCTCCATCACCTCCTCCATCACCTCCTCCATCACCTCCTCCAGCACCTCCTCCAGCACCTCCTCCATCACCTCCTCCATCACCTCCTCCATCACCTCCTCCAGCACCTCCTCCATCACCTCCTCCATCACCTCCTCCAGCACCTCCTCCATCACCTCCTCCATCACCTCCTCCAGCACCTCCTTCAGTGTGAAAAAAGGAGTTAATACAGCAACTACAGATTCAGCCATGCAAGCCACCGTCACTATCAAGACTCCAACATCCACCCAGAAGTTTGTTGTAAGCACTGAAGTGGCGCACACACAGCTTCTATGTTGTTGTCATCATTACTTGCATCTAATAGAAGTGTCAGTGCCTTTGAATGAGATGCTTGTTGTTTTTCTCTGCAGTATTTCCACAAAGGCAACGTGGAGGTAAGCTTTTGTTTTGCTCTGATCTATTTGAAGCCTGCAGACTGAATGCCGTTACCTGTATCTATGCAGGGCAGAGTTTATTAGTAAAATCACGAATCACTGAGGGATCTGTGGGTGCACAGTCAGAAACTTTTTACCTTTGAGCCTCGAAACTTTACAAGATTCAACAGCTGATGACCATTTGTGTTCAGACAGGCGCTGGGTGGATCTGTTAGGCGTGCGAGCTTTGTCTGAGTGAAGCAGTGAAGCCTGCTATTAAACAAAACAACCATTTCAGTCACTGGGTGGAAAAAGTGTCTTAGTGGGAACCCTTCCTGCCTTTCTCTAGTTTCCTTTGTTCCCACAACTCTTTTTGAAGCAGCTTTGACCCTCTGAGTCCCTCAGTTGTGCCCTTTAATAGTACACCAGAAATAAGCAACACATCACAACACAGGAAAATACGGCCTTGGCTGTGGCCTCTGACCTTCCTGTCCTCCCACTGGCAGCACGGCAGCGTAGAAGAGCGCTTCCTGGTTCATGAAACAAAAAAGGACTTGTGCTGCGTGCATCAATGTGTTTTTGTTTAACAGCATTTACAGACGTGTCATTTTTACGCAGACCAAGGAAAAAGATGGCGAGAAAAATTTCAGGAAAGTGTGCAGGAGGCTGATGGAGAGCATGGACAACGGATCCTGCACCCTGAACTGGCTCGTCCAAAACGGATCAGTGAAAATCGAATCTGTGGAGATAAATGGCAAAGGTAAAAGTATATCCTAGTCCGTTCAGAAAGGGGACATTCACTGAGTTTATAATGCAGATTCTTTTTCTCTGGAAATCAATCAATGTGATCCTGATCTTTCAGTGAACGAAAGCCTTGCGCAGCAGTATTATGACGAGCTCGCCCAGGTGAGGATTCGGCTCTTTAGATCAGCCTCGGGACCCTCGGCCTCTACAGCAACTACTTATTCCTCTGTTTGTTCCTCTCCTAGAAAGAACAGATAAAGACCGATAACAAAACCCTGATCGCTATCCTGGCCTCCTGCGGAGCCCTTCTTATCATGATCGTCATCCTCGGTGCCTGCGCCTCCCACCACCGCAAGCCTTACAATGAGAACCAGGTAAGAAGAGACATCCATCCCACTATCCCCAGTATGCTTCCATTATAGTCTGAGTTTCCAGAACTAGTGAACGTATTAGCTGCTCGCTTTGCTTCTTCATTTATAATCTGACCTCTTTCAAAGAGGAATAGAGATGATGAAACAGGAAAAGAGATGTTCCAGATGCTTCACATTTCAAGGCTACGTCAGCCAATCATATGTGCTTATTAGGTGCTTATAAAACCTTTGATGAGTGCTGGCCTGGGTTGTTGCAGACATGGTATTATTCCTTATATCTTCTAAGCGGTGATAGAAAAACGATGATACATCGATTCATGTTTAACTTTTTATTCTGTGTCCCTGCAGGTTTGGTTCATGCTTTAATGCCACTAATTGGGATTTGATTCCCATCCTTTTCAGCTTATTTAGTACTTTTTAACACATGTTGGAGCTGAAGAGCAGAGAGGTTAGAATTCTGGGCTTTTTGTTTGCCTGATTTTTCACCCCCTCAAATCTTTTTTGTTTTTTTTCCTTTTTTAAAATTTTGCATCGATGTGGTGGGACTATCGTTGCAGCAGAAACCAATTTTACTTTTAGCCACTGAACCACCAAATACCTGACAGGAGCTCCAGCAGCGGTGACCTACGGGGGTGCCTGACACTTTCAGAACTGTGTCAGGATCAAAACTCGGTGTTTAATTGGTTTTCTGAATATTCTGTGGAGAAAACTTTTAGCAAACGTTCTAGGACATATGACCGTGTGGGGACGATGACTGGGCAGGAGCAAAGGCCTCCTTTTTATCTGTTTTGATTCTGGCCTCTTCTTCTAGCCAAAATTCCTTCTGTGCCGAAATACTTTTCCAAAAGGAAAGTGTCGTATCGTGCAGCGCTTTCATTTAAAGCTGTGGTAGCCTGAATCCCTGATTCATCCACGGATAGTTGTTGGATTTGTGGACTTTGGAGTATGTTTAGAAGTTAAACAACAGGCGTGTGAGAGCAGTTAGATTCCACTCAGATTTATGAATTTTAAGACTGGGTCTGTGTAACAGGAAGTAACAGTGGGCATGTTTTTACTTTGCCCTCTCAATCTCCACAGCAACACCTAACAGAAGAGCTGCACACTGTGGAAAACGGTTACCATGACAACCCCACGCTGGAAGTGATGGAAGTGCAGCCCGAGATGCTGGAGAAGAAGATGGTGCTGAACGGAGAGTTCAACGACAGCTGGATGGTACCTTTGGACCACCTGTCGAAAGAGGACCACCCCGAAGAGGAGGACACCCACCTGTAAGGACGGGTGGGAGAGGGGCGGGTCACAGGGCGCGCAACGCCACAACAATTCGAGCTATACCCACGCATCTTAAACTCTTGTCTCTTATGCCCTTGTAGCCAGGCAACACTTCCTCCAGAGCAGGTGACGGCGTGGCGTGTAGAAGCTGCTCGGTTCGATGTAGCAAACTTCATGAAACATGTTTGAAAAATGCACCAAATCAATCACTGTTGTGTTTATGCTGCACTTTTCCATGCGTGACTTCCTGTGGAGCACAACCTTTTCATATTGGTTTTTACACATATTTCTGTGCCTGTTCGCTATTGTACTAACAAAGAGGTTGCACACCGTGACCTGTTTTTGAGTGTTTTCTTGCATCTGACGAAGGAGCGGCAATATTACAAACCAATCACTTTGCATTCGCTCTTGAGGAACAGAGGTCATCTGCGTTGACCACTCTAGAGTTACTAACATAGAAATGTGATCAGGGGGCACTTTAAAGCCCCCAGTGATTTAAAGATAGAGGCTGTGCACTAACCCTACAGAAGGAAGGACACGGCCACAGAGATGCTGCTTACACTGGGCGGACAAAGGACCGGTTTGAATCCAAAGTGCCTCATATTGACTCTGTTGTGTATGGAAAGCCAGAGACGACAAATTCTTGTCCTTTAAAGTCATTCTGATGCAAACAGGCGTCATTTCTGTTCATCTGAAATCCTGTATTCGGGTTTGCATAGGAGAGCCATGAAGTTGTTTCTAGGGCCAACAAGGCAAAGCCCACATCTTTTTATGTTAGTGTGTTTCAAGTTGTTACCCTGAAATCTAATTTCATGGTGACCTGCTCATGTTGGACTCTACCATGTCAATGGTGGCTGTTGTACAATAAACACAAGCTATAATCATGCCAAACTACTTTTTAACTACTTTGTTAGTTGCATTATTAGTAAGCAGACGTGCGCCCAGTCTCAGTCAGCTGAGCCACGCTGTAAATAGCTGCACGCTCTTTGTTGGTGAGGCTGGACGGAGTCGGGCTAAACCCTCACAGCAGAACCCCAGCTTAACACTTTTATTTTGAAATGCTCATCAGTCCAATAATTTCAATTAATATACATTTACTTTCACTTCAACCTATATTATGTGCAAGTGACTCAATCACACTGGGCTCTCCAGTCCAGCCAGTATGTTTGCTTGACTGCTGTGAGTGTTTGCGTCTGCCACTGTTATCATAGTTGTGTATAGTTTCTCACGTACGTTACTGTACCAGGATTTTATGTATTTATGGTTTGTTTGCTGCAGAAGGCAAACAGCAGGGGTCTGACACACTGGAAGCTGTAAAGCACGGATGGTCTCGACTGTTATTCTGTTGTATCTGTTCAGGTTTGAAAATAAATCTTTTTCCCACTTTGGAGACTTTCCTTTAAAATGAACCACACAAAGATGGCAGTTAGGAAAACTTGAACAAAATACAATCTTTATTCATTATATACAGTACATACAATGCAATACTGCAAGGCTTTCTACACATTCACTGTAATCCAGAGTAGTGCTCACTGATCATAGAGTACCAGCTTTAAAACTCCTGAGTCCCACCCAAAGAAAGACAAAGAAAAGTCGTATTTGGCATTGTGTGTTCTTACAAAGGTGCTTTGAATTAGTCTTGAACACAAAACTAACGCTACAGCCAGTGTGGTGAGCCCTGCATGTTATCAAAATGTCATCATTTTCTTACTTCTTCACATTTCTCCTCGTCCGAAACAGATTAGCAGACAAAAAGAACATTTATTAGTGTAAACCGTTACACTTCCTCAGTATGTAAATTTAGGCCACTTCTGCTGATCCCTGCTACCTGTCTGAGATTAGTCACACATGAACATAGAACAGAGCATCTCCATCCTGGGAAGGCTCCATAGAAGGAATAAAGGGTGAACAGTGAGGAGTCTTGGCTGAAATAACTGGATACAAATTCCACATTGAGACCTGTAGGTGGTGTGTTGATGTCAGAAACTGAAAGGATCACCTCTGTGAGGTCATTAACGTGACCACACACAGTAGGCCATTTGTTACAAACCACACATCGTGAAAGAACAGCTGACACAAAGTGTGGAGGGAAGCAGCTCGGCTGGTCTGTCCAAACGCTCAAAGACGAAATCTTTGTCTCTTTTGTTTAATCTGTAAAACCAAACATCAACTTTCAGCCTGAAGCACCAAGTCAATGAAGAACTGCCAATAAAATGTAGTCGTTTGGAGGCCGTCTCCACACACTCGCCATCGTTCGTCTCTACAGCATTGAAAACCTCTGGCCTTTATGGACACTTCCTCCTCCATGACAGCATAGCTCCTCCCAGGTGTATACTGGTGAGGCCGAGTTAGGGGCTTAGCTGTCCTGACACCACCCAAACCACCCAAACATTTCCAAACTCATCTCTGTGTGGTGGCGCAGTGGCTACGCTCCTATGGACAAACACTTGCTATGTGCTCAGATTAAGATTATTCATTTACTGCGCCTTGTTGAAGTGTCCTACCATTATGGTTGCCAGGCAACCAGAAAACGATGCTGACTATGTTAACAGTTACAAAGCTGGTAACAGTGTTGCAAGTGAAGCTTCCTGTTAGAGTGTATCACTATCAACACATGTCAAATGTAGTGCACAGATATAGTGTGGTATCCTCTGAGGCAAAGATACACTGCAATGACAGTAACATTGTCATAGCAGCAGGAAGTCAGTGGAAGCAGTTACATGCAGCTCACGTTACCATCACGCTGTTTGGAGGTGGAGTGTGCTAGAATTTCACTCACTGCTCTCATTTTACGAATGAATTTGATTTGTTCATATTTTAAAACACATTTTGGAGCTACAAAAGAATCGAGCAGGCGATGACACTGCCGTGGATTTGTGATGCATCAGTGGACTAACAGCTCTCCAACACTAAGCCCCACAGCTCAGGAAATTCAATTATGGAAGTTTATTAAAAAAATAAAAACAAACAGAAACGTTCTTAAGGTTCTTTAATTTCAAAATAAGAGCATTATCTATAATTCATGTGTCCAATGAATGAGATTGAATCAAAGATGCCAACTGATTCAAACTATGAGGGAAAGAGAGTGAAACGTAAATTTGGCCTGCGTTACACGACTGTAAAAGAATCCACTCTTCCATTAAACTGTGCCGAACGTTCTTTGAATCTCCCAGGAAGAAGTCTGTTCAAGTACAGCATGCGCTCGACGGACGGTGCTCAAGAGTCCCAGCAGCTGTGTGACTGCGTCTGTAGTGTTCTACTGCATCACAGCTATCAGAAACAAAGCACTGGAAGAAATATAAGCGAAAACGTTTCCTGTGAAATGCAATTAGTGAGAGTCTGACTCAGTCAGGGAAGACGGCAAACAGGAAGCGAATGGGGAGTAAGCACCTGCATGAAACACGGATCCCTCAGAGGTGACAGACAAACTGCAGCTGCCACAGCTTCAGTCCATTTCAACACTGCTACACATATCCAGCTACTCGGACCTTCGACATCCTCCAAAAGCATTTTATCCAAACTTCCCAGCTCAATGTTTTCCTTCCATATGTGAGGCTACAACCAGGTCTGTGTGTTACACATGGTTGGTAAGAAAGTCTCAGGCGTATAATAAAAATAAGCCGAAGCAGCTGACGATCAAATTTTACAAACTGCAAATGTCTCCATGATCTGAAGATGCGCCTGTTCGTAGAGTCCTCAGCGAGGCTAATCGCACAATGAGAAGCTTCAGGATCTCCTTCTGTGTTTGTGTGATCAGGAGGTACAGCAGCCGATGAAGGAAGGTTGTGCGTGTTCACGACAACAAAGGTGGGAAAGGTGACCTCAGCACATTATTTTGTCACCTGACCAATCAGCATGCTTTTATGTCACAGACGCTGCTGAACCTAAAGAACAGGGTGGGATCGTTTCTAGCTGCAGCACATCCAGGTCAACCACAGGAACTCAGTCAACAGAAGATTAATTAGCGATACTGGTTTGTGCTTCTTTTTTTAAGCTGCTCTCCATTTTCTTGGGCCGAGCCAGCAGCTCGTTGGTTACACGATGAGATTAGTCATGAAGATCATAACTGTAGCCCAGTTGAGTTATTATTAGTGCTGTGAGCGTTGATCCCGTTGAAATAACGCCATAACCGCTTTGAAGCGGCAAATCTCCGTTAGCGAGTTAACGCGGCTCGCTCGTTGGGCTGCACGCCACCAACGGGTTAGTGCTGTCCAGCCCCACGCACGGGCGAGCCACGCTAACTCGGAGATTTGCCGCGTTAATTCAGGTATGACGTTAACGTCATTTTAATGAGATTAACGCTCACAGCACTAATTATTATCAGTACAGAAAAGTTGATAACCCAGACTTTAATATTCAACGCAGATTATAAGCTGGAAGTTCCATGATCGTATATGTGACTGACTGATAATCAGACCAGAGCTTCATGCACTTCATCCTCCCATTGAAGGAACATGCTGCCAAACTGAAAACACCTTTAGCTGCTCTGCAAAGATCACGGTGGATACCTGCACCAGCACCTCCCTCACGTCTCGTTTAAACTCTCCTTAGTAAGGAACTGCTAAATGTGGAGCCACAGAGTGACTGGACCCTGATGTTTGTTTGTTTTTGACATTTGTTGATAAGGATGGGGAGAAAGAGCATGACCTGACACAAGCCCAGGACACGTGGAGCAAATTCCTATATGTATATTTACATATTCTGTACATCCACTCAGAAGTCAACGACAGGCCAATAATTTCACTGTTATCAGCCAGTTTTACAGGGATAGCAACCAAAACCTATATACCTATATATTTAATATATATATTAAACTTTATCTCATAGAATCATTCCTCTATTGTTCCTACGATGCTTAAAACTGCTGACTTTTTCCAGCCTGTGCAGCCGTCACGCTCACAAATAGGGGCAGGTGCTGCAGGAAAGCCAGCTTACCAACTCATTAAAATGACGCTGACATGTGGTTTTATAGGAGAAACAACAAAAAACAACACAATCTTAATTTTTTAACAACTGGCCTCAGATGTAAACATGTGAATGGACATGTGTGGTTGATTCTGAACGCACAGATCGAAGAAGAGTCAGCAACCAAATGTGCAAATTATTTTTGTTTAGCTTCAACAACAAAAAACAAACAAAAACAAAAGTGATGCGCTGGGCTTGGCTCCTGCAGTCTCCATCAGCAAGACAAAAGGAAAAAAGCACACGTGTACACACACACGCACACACACACCCTCAGGCTGTTGTAGAAATTTCACGTATTCAACAAGGACAGCAGTGTGTGTGTGTTTGCTGCCCTCATCGTCATGGTAATGCAGCCCGTGATAGCAGCAGATCAGTGGGGTGGAGGTGGGTGAAGTGTGATCCCACCAGCAGGGGGCGTTCCAGAATAGAAAAATAACTGGTCTCTGTCTCCACACGGTGTGTGCGGCTGGGCGTTCAGTCAGAGCAGTGTGGCGAGCGGCAGGCTGGGAGGGGCTAGAGCGTGATAAGGTCTACCAAGTTGCCCTTAGGCGGAGTCATGCTGTCTGGGAAGAAGTTGACGAGCGTATCGAAGAGCTGTGTCCGCTGAGCGTACGTCTGGTCTATGTCTGAGAAACCTGAGGGGGAGAAAGAAAACGCAGGTGAGCAGAGACGCATGTGCAGAGCAGAGCGCCATGCTTTCTGCTCCTCAGGCCGGGTCTGGAAACCATCTGTGTAGACTCAATGCACAGAGTCAGGCCTCAGCACACAACCTCTCAAAGTAATCATGTAGACACATATATGGCTTTACATCAGCCCTCTTTTGTTTATGTGATGTAGTTTGTGAAACACAGACAGGAAGCAATAAAATATCATTTCAGCACCTTCTTGATGACGTTTGTCACAAGCTGGTTTTAGTCAGTGTGCAGTGAAGACAGGCTGTACAGATATCTGGTAATCCTGCACCTTCATCAACCTGAACAAAAGTGCTGCCTGATGTGAAATACTGAGGTTTTGCAGACACATGACTGGTGACCATGTGACATTAACTTGTCCAGCATTTGGGACATGTGACAATCAATGAATCATTCTCCAGAGACACGGGAATAACGAGGGGAAAAGAAAGATTATTATCCAACAGACTGAGTGGCTGCTGGAGGTGGCTGGCAGTCGCTGGTAAAGCTTCAGTCTCACTGTAAACCAGTCAGTGACCCATGGTCCCATCCCATGGTAACCACCCGTCTCTAGGGAAAAATGCCTACAAACACTGGCACTCTGCGCAGGAGAGGAACTGTGAAACGAAGACCATTTGCCTTCAAAGTAAAAGTTGTGCCTCAGCGTTGCAACCAACTTGTTTCATTAAGTGCAACTTTTACTCTGAAAACCTCTGCACTTGCAGTTTCTGTCACACTTTTATAAAGACTATAAACCTGATGGTTCCCATGTGTGCAGAGCGTGAGCTTTTATGAACTCTGAACAGGTTCTTACCAAGAGGGATGAAGTCAGAGCTGGACTTGAAGAGCGCCGAGGGCAGCAGCTGGAACTGAAGCACACAGAACAAACGTCTGAGTCACTTTAACGTTCAACAGCAACGAACAAACAAACGCACTGATCAGAGTCCTGCTGCAGCAGGTGCTGCGCCGGTCTGAATGCAGATGAGGGCAGGATACACCTGAGCTCACGTCTGTCTACACAGACTCAACCTACCAACTGCAGCAGAGGCTTAACGCCTGCATTGCTCACAAACCAGCAAGTCTTTAAAGCAGTGCTGTCAATAGATCGTGATTAATCGCGATTAATCGCAATTACTTGATCAATAGCCTGGCTGTAATTACATTTTTTCAACTTTATATTTAAGCTTGTAACTGACATTTATGCAGTTATACTAATAGGGAAGTATACACTAATATATATATTAGTGCTGTCAAACTATTAAAATGTTTATGCCGACTGATCACAGGGGAACTGTGGATTAATTTGGATTAATGATTAAACATCATTTATTTTATTCTATATTAATCACGTTTCATTTTGCTTGAGCAAACAGACTCGAGAAAAAAGGGCAAACATCGCACTAACATGTTGAACGTTCATGTACAAACTCTGTAAACATGTATCCTCTCTCTGTCTCTCTTGGGGAGGCTTCACGTGCTTGAACGAGGAACCAAAGTTGTGTGAAGGTTCTCAGTGATGTTAACAGGTCTGCAGTTTGTTCCGCGTGGCGTCAGTCGATGTGTCCGAGGTCGACTTCCTGAGGCCCCGATGCTCCGCGAGTGTCCAAGCTGGGTGAGGCGTTAGCCAAAGTGCTAGCAGCATCCTGGCTAACGTGTGCTTTGAGTCAATGTGATATTTTAAGCTGGAAGCGCTTCGGTGAAAACAGAATTCCTTCTTGCACAACGTGCAAAATACCTTATGTGGGTCGACTGTTCCCTCTTATTTTCTTAATGCTCAAATTTCCCACGGAGAGGGCCGAAGCGCGTTTATCATCTTCCACATCGAGTTGATTGGTGCAGCTGGCCGTCACTACACACCAGCTGCCCCGTGCGCATGTGCGAAGCTGACTGGACAAACTGCCCGAAATGCCTTTATAGAAACATTGCAGGGATTCTGAGTCGCTCTGCACTCCAGGTGTGTTAAAAATTGTAATCCTGTTGCCCGTGATGGCGGATTAATATTAACACGTTAATTTTGACAGCACTACTTAATATTCTCAGTTTTATTATATGCACATATATGAATGCATTAAAAGACTGGATTGTATACAAACGTAGACGTTTAAGGGAAATCTTGTACCTCTTTGGTCTCATCCGGGTCTGTGTGGTCTACAGTGAGAGACAGGTCGTTCTGGAGATACTTCAGTGCACTCAGTGGCTCTGACTGGGCCTTTTCTTCAAACCTGTGAAACCAACACACAGTGATGGCATGAATACCAACAGAGGAGGCTGCAGTTACAGCTACTGGCAACTTGATGGCAACAGAAGCAAAGCAACTAAGTGCATGCTAGATTCCCACAGATGAGTCAAGTCAAAGGTTCTAGACAGGAAGTACTCATCCCTTCTCACACAGATCTGCACCTCTGCATTGCTACTGCTACAGTTACACTTACTCTTTTTAACTTTACGTATGCAAATCATGTCACCACAGTCACAAAAGCTGCCCCAATTTATAACTTTATAACTATAAATGAAGCAATTTAAAAAAAATCTTATTTATTGTTAGTTTATCCCGTTGGTCACAGCGGGAAGAAAAAAACCTCTTTAACAAGAAGAACCCCCCAGGAGTGCTGGGCTCATGAAGAGGCAGCTCTCTGCTGCAGCCGGCTGGGAGTGAGAAACAGCTTATATGTGAAGTAAGAAATAATATGAAAGTAGAAGAAGAATCTCAATAATAAAATCATTTAGATCGTGAGAGAAATCCAGAAGATTCCACGTTAAACTTGATAAACGGTTCACTTTAGAGGTGGAATACTTACTGAGCATTACTGCTCCAAGGTAAAGGGTTCAGGGTATAGACTACACTGCTGGCTGCTGGTAGCTTTTAAAGGCACAGACCTGTATTTTCTGATGAGGTATCTGCAGTGGCGGAGCAGGTATTCCTTGGAGGGCCGACACAGTTTGAGGGACCAAAAGTCATCCAGGCGCATCTTAGGAGAACAAGACTTCCCGGGGTTTCCCCCAAACAAGTAATGCACCTGCACACACACAAACAAGGATAAGATACATTTATCATTCACTCTTTAGTATGTTTTAGATATGTGCACAAGATAAATCTGCCTGTTGCTGTCTGCCGTGTGAATAAAACACACCGCTCTCATCTGAATTTAGCTTCTAAAATACGTGTTGATCTGATCGAGCTGTAGGCCCGATGCAAACGAACCAGGCCTGCACTAGGCTTCGTTCCACTCCACTGTTAATCCACACTTCCTTCACATTTACCTGCTGTCTGTTTACACAGGAAGTCTCAGAAAGGTCAGAGTTCAGACTTGTTGTTAGGTTAACATCGGTCAGAATGTCAAAGGGAAAAATGCTGCGTAAATCTAAATTGTTTTAGAACAAAAAAATCATTCTGCAAGTGACATAGTTGTTTGTTCATAGTGATTCTCCTTCTTTATTAAGGAAAAGGGGACGACCTACAAACAGTTTAAAGCATCATTAACTGACTTTTGTTTTTTTACTGTAAACATTTCAACTTTGCCATCACTGAAATTCTACACAAGCGCTTCGTGTTGCCAGATGTGTGAACGGGCAGTGGGAGCTGGGCTGTGTTTGTGTAATACAGTGTGCATTACTTTGTGCATCTCATCGTAGACCAGCTGGTGAGCAAAGCGTGGACATGGCTCCTCCTCCTGCAGAGCCTTGCTTGGGTTTTCTTTCACTGCCTGATCGTTCTTATACACACAAGACCTGAGCAGGAGCACACACACAACTTACATCAGCGGTAAAGATACACAACACTTCCTGAAGCCCTCGGGAACAACTGTTTGTTACAGCACAAACACACATTTGTGAGAAGCATTACTGACAATACTGCATGTCCAAGTCCTTCCAGTCACATTAACCCACAACTCCAACCTAAACCTGAATCATAAAGCCAAGTGTGAAACCTCAAACAACCATTTGATCGAGTTAAGAAAAATGTTTACGCCCCAACGTTTAAAAGTTGGCCGTCTCAAAGAAATGGGAGTCGCTCACACGATGCTGCAGGTGTCTCACTGAAGGATTTCACTGGACACAGAGTACAAGAACATTTACTGAACTCAATGTTCAGGAACACGGAGGCCTGCAGCCTGTTCTCACACACACACGCACGCACACGCACGCACACACACCTCTCAGGGATTACCAGCGCTGTGTGTGGAGAGGTCGTGAAATACTCTGCAGTGCTGACATTTGTATAGAAATGTTGAGTGCGAAGCTCATGCGAGTAGTGTTTGCATGCATGCTCTGCTGTGTGTTGTGGTGAACATCTTGGCTACAAAGAGCTGGTGTGTGAAAGTACTTCCTGTGAGTGTTGTTGTGGTTATGATCAGAGGAAGTTTTTAGTAGGACGAAGCGAGTGTTTATCTCTCCGTCTCCTACCAGTTGTTGCGGGCGATGTCGTAGATCCAGAAGGAGTTGCGCACATTTTCCTCGCGTTTGTCCTTGTCTTTACTGAGGCCGGACAGGACATGGATCTCGTTGAGTTCAGGGTCGATGGTGGCTCTCTGGGTGAAGCCCGTCATCGGCACTGCATACACAAGCGGAGCAAACAGACGGTCAAAGACAAACACATTTACCTGCAGGTCTGATTTAGCTAAATCAGGTCAGGGTTTCAAGCTGATAATAGCAAAACTTCTGTCTCCACAAAATGAAAGAAAGCGGCAGCGTTAGGGGCTATCAAAGAAAACTACTCGATAACATAGCAACGAGCACCATGGCAACAAGGACTGACACAGAAAGAAACAATGAACAGCATGCAAATGCAGCTCGGTGTGATCAGACATCCCAGCACACACGGTTGATCTTCTACGATTACAGCGGGCTAAAGGATCGAGCCAGGTTAAAACAGCACGGGGGCGGGGTCTCTGCAGATCAATGATTAGAGCGAAGCACAGGAGGAACTGTGCACGGTTATGATATGAAATCCTAACGAGGAGCTCGAGTCTGCCTGCAGGCCTGAAGCACACATTGTTTACATCTTCATACTGCGCCATTTCATAAAATCAGGAATTCAATTAAAACCACAAATGCGGAGTTCTGGGTCAGCTATAACAAAAGGTTCACACGTTATGACGCTGGCAGGTCAATCTAATGTCCAGTAGAAACAGTAGCCACAGCTCAGCTCACAGCAGCAACATGGAATCGTGACTCCACTGTCAGCACGGCTGCTTTTCCCTCCCTGAATCGTCCACACGATGGGCAGAGCATGAAATAAGCTGCTGACAGCTCAGCACTCAGTTGACTCAGGATGAGATGCTGTGGTGATGTGCTGATTTCATTTCTGGAAAATTACCATTTAAATGTGTGAAATTCAACTGATCGACTCAACCAATGTGTGTTTAATGAATTATTAATGATATTTCCGACAGAGCAACAGACTGTAAAGCTTTGTGAGGGGAGCCAATGCTGGGTCAATGAGTAGTAATAATATAAGTTATTTATACCTTTGTTCCTTAAATTTTTAAACACATATCTGTACTTTGTACTCCTTAAACAGGCTCGTATACTTTGGCTTTTGACTGGACTTCTTTCAGGTCACTGGGCCTTATGAAAGGCAGGTGTGTTCAGGTACGAATCAGCAGCGGATGTCACACAAACACAGATGAAGAGTCGCAGTCAGGGGTCGGCCGGTTTGGAGTTTTGGCACAACACTGCAAGAAGTGCAGAAGTTGCGACTGCAGCATCTAGTTGGCGATACCGAAGAGGAGCGTGCATGAAGGGAGTGACGTTTTCTGTTTGTCAGGTCATCGTAAATGCAACGTTTCTATCAGCTCAACAAACATCAGCAAACACACAAACCAACACGACCTGCCTGCACCGCCCTCAAAAAACCCCCAACCAAACAAGCAAAAAACCTCCAACAACTTCAAGAACCGAATGTGTTAGCTTCACCCTGCAAACTACATCTGTTATAGTCGACAGTTACCAGTCAGCACAACAGGACAAGCTGGCGTTTCAGTGCTGAGCTCACATCAACATGAGACGTGTTTGGCTTCATAATCAAATCCTTTCGGTTCTTTCCTGCTCACATTTTTCATCAAATCATACAGATTTGATGATAGCTCCAGCAGGGTAAGACAGAGGTAAGTGGTGGGTAGACAAGGTCTATTTATACTGGCTTTGAGGTGAAGCTGAGACTGTAGCAGACATTTTAGTCGATCTGGCAGGAAGTGTCTGAAGAGTGGAGGAGCTCCTTAACCAGACAATCGTCATCTCTGTTCTGATAGCTCACAGAATCTATTAGCCTCGATCATTTTATCATATTGTTAATGTAGCCGAGTCAAACAGAGCCCAGAAGACTACGAGGCAGCTACCACAAACGTGCAAATGAATATCTACCACGAGAGGAGTGCTCTCAAACAAAGCTGTAGGTTTTTAGTATGAATTTATCAATACGTTTCAGAACTGAAGCTAGCGAGCTAGTTTAATAAAAGGGTGATATTTGTTTCCAGGGATGTGTTCAGTAGCGCCTCGTTTTCAGGGTCGGGACAAACCCTTAATATACGCTTAAAGTAGAGCACTGCCCTGAATACAGGATCTGTGATTCCTCTAATAGAAAACAGCGAATGCTCCTTTTCCAACTTGGTTTTCAGGGTTTCTCAGTAAGTGATAATACCTGGTACCAGCTACGCTGTTCAAGTGAACCGAGTCGAGCTGACACTCGGTGACTGATGAGGGACACCACTAAAATCTAAATCACCACTTTTGAAACCCGGCAGTGTAAAAAACTGATGAGGTCTGAAAATACGCTATGATGATTACAGGCCACCTGTATTTGTTGTTACTGATAGCTTAATCTGTGTCGTCTCTCCCTGTGTGCAGCTCTATAAACCAGCGGACCTCATCATCTAGTATGAGATGTTCTTACCCATCCCAGAGTCTTTCTTGGTGCCATCAGATATGATTTCTACGTGATCTCCATCCACATCGTAACTGAAGAAATCATTGAGGTACGTCTTTGACCTCTGACCACCAAACACGTAGAGGCAGCGGTTCCTCTGGCGAAGAAACAGAAATAATGGCCAACATTAAAGTCAGTCGCTGACGGGATTGTCCTCAGAAATAGATCCAATGACGCACTCACAGTGTGGAAGAGCATGCAGTGCCCGATACGGGACTGAACATCCTCTGGGCCAGCGTTGCACGAGTCCTCCCGCAGGAGGCTCCACGTCCCCAGTTGGCAGTGGTAGGCGTACAGGCCGCTGAACTGCGGCTCCGACGTCCGGCTGTCATCCACGCTTCCATTACACGTCAGGATCCGACCCCCAAACGTGTAGATCATGTGCTTCTCAGAGTCCATGCACATCTGCAGGAAGAGCAGTTTGTCACTGTTAATAAAAATGCATCTTTGAGCTGAAACTAATTTACTTTGATTTAAATGCTTCAGATTAAATCAAAGCTTCCTTCATTACATTTTCCCCATTTGTTTTTTTGAGTTGAAGCTTTTTAACTGCCTTGTGTTTTCTTGGACACGACTCCGCTTTAAAATCATTCTGCCTAACAAATGTCCAAAGTGGGGATGTGTGCGACTACACGACTACTCGATTGCTCGTTGCTGTTCTTACGAGTCGTTTAACTAACTGTTGAAATTTAAATTTGATGCCCAATGCTGGTCAATTATTGTCCTAAATGTTATGCAGACATCTGCCACCAGAT